CTTCCCACCGCCCCCTCCTCCACCCCCGTCCCGCCCCCTCCCCACCGTGACTCTCACCGCCCTCGTCCCCACCCCTGCCCCCCATCCTTCCCCAGCCTCACAACCTCTCCCAACCACCACACCCTCTCCGCCATCCCTACAGCCCCTGCCCTTCGTCACCCTCTACCCTCCTCCCCTCTCCCACCCCCTGCCAGCCGTCCCCGCCCCAGCCCGCCCCCCCAGTTCCCGCCTCTCCTCCCCCGCCGCGGACCCAGAGGATCCCCACAGTCCCAGCTCCGAGCGGGGCAGGGCAAGGAGGTCGGGGCCGCGGAGGCCAGCAGCAGGGCCGGCCCCCCCAATTCCGAGAGCCGCCAGGCGCCTCCCCTACCAGCAGCAGGAGGCCGAATATGCACCAGCCGATCACCAGGTCCGCGGAAGCCGCGCCGGGCGGCGCCGCCGCCGCCGCCATCTTCACTTCCGGTCCCCACAGACTTGGGCGCCGGGGTTGGGGAAGGGGAAAGGGGAGAACGCGAAGGGACGCTGCGCCCGCGCACCCTAAAGGTTAAAGGGCCGGAGGGCGGAGCGCGCGGTTGCCTAGGAGACCGACCCACGAGCGTCCCCTGGCGACGGGCGGGAGGGGCGCCTCCCGGGACGCCGTACCGTCCCCACTCTTTACGTCAACACGCTGCACGTCCTTCCGTAGCCGCGCAGCCCGACGGGAGGTGTTGCCGCCAGGTTTGGGGGTCGGGAGAGCTCGTGCCCTCTCCTGCGTCCGGGCTTGGCTCCCTCCTGGAGCGGGGTCTGGCGGAGCCCCTCGGACGGGCTGGCACTGAGGTCGCGTGAGCCCGGCCATGCCCTGCGGCCTTGGATGCCCGGTGCCGCGTGCGCGGACGAGCGCGTGGTGAAGCCAGGGCTGGCGAGCCGGTGGAGGGGACCCGGGACCCTCGCCGAGGCTGCCGCAGCTCCAACCGCGAAACCGAGCACCGGAGCCTGAGCGGTGGGCAGACGGCGGGAGAGAAAGATCGCCGTCTCTTTCTTTTCTCTCGTGTTTAAGAAATAGATGTATGTTGCTTGAGACACGTCCAGCACGCTGTGTTGCCCAGGCTGGTTCTCTATAGCCTCAAGCGAGCCTCCCGCCTCGACATCCCGGAGTGTGGGATTACAGGTGTGAGCCACAACGCCCAGCCATCGCGTTCCAACTTATGTGATAAGGTGTCACCTACCGAGGACCTGCTTCTGGCTCTAGACTGCTCTAGACTGTGGGTGCATAACAGCCACACCTCTGGACCCCTCTCCCTTACAGATTCCTTAGCGGGAGCAGAGGCCTCTATTCTGGTTGTGTGGAGCAACCTTGACTTAAGTGACTCCGTCTTTGAAAAGACTCCATCCATGATGGGCGCAGTGGCTCAGGCCTGTAATCCCAGCACTTTGGGCAGCGGAGGCGAGAGGATTGTCTACCAGCCTGGGCAACTTGGCGAGACCTCGTCTCTACAGTAAATCAAAAAATTAGCTGGGCATGAGACTGAGGCGGAAGGATCGCCTGGGCTCAGCAGGTCGAGGCTGCAGGGGGCATGAGCGTGCCACTGCACTCCACCCTGGGCGACAGAATTGAGACCCTGACTCAAAAAAAAAAAAAAAAAAGACTTCACCTTGTATTTTCGAAGGCAGAGCACTAGCAGGGACTAGTTCACGTAATCAGTGAGACTATGCCTGTCCAGGTAAGGACATAGACACACTTTATTGTAGGTTCTTACCAAAGGACCTAGGCTGTGAAGAGTGCAGCGCTTTCCCAGCTCTATGGGGCCTTCTCTACAGGCCCCGCCTCACTGTGCCTTGGATCCATGCTGACATCTCCGCCCAGGACAACTTTCCGTGTTCAGGCTGCTTTCCTTGGACTGGTTAATGAACCCCCTCTTTTGATGCTGTTACTTTGTTTGCTTTGGAATGTTTAATCTGTAACGTTTGTATATTGATTATTCTACTTTGTGGCTTGCCATATTGACTGACTTGTGGAGTGGCTTGAGACTGTGTACATGAGGCTCTTACTACCAAGTAAACAGGTACTGAGTACTAAGGAGAATTGCCCCCTTGAGACCATGCAGCTCTTGACTTTCATAATTGAAGTAACATCAATACAAGTCTGGCATTCTGGGAAGACACAAACATGCCTTGCCCTGGTTCTGTGTGCCCTTGCACTGCTCAGGACACAGGTAGTCACTAAGAATTCCTCACTCACCCCAGAGCATCCTGGGGTGCGCTTACTTTTCCTCCTAAGGTCTTCTCCTGTTCTAGAAGCCCACTTGGCTTCTAGAAGGAGAGATCTAAGTCCACCCAGGCCATCTCTCCCCTTTCTCCCCTCTTAGTCTAGATCCCCTGTATAGGAAATGATCATTCATACCTTGCACCAACAACTTTGGTAGCAAAGGATAATCCCAGCATAGCTGTACTGTCCTAGTTCTACCAGCAAAGGTGCCCTCTGTGTTTCCAATTCTCCGAGTAGCTCCCTTGAGACTAGGACTTAGGGGATAACACCCCATTCCAACCCTTTGCACAAGCACACCACTCTCGGGTTAGGTCAGCAACAGTTCTCAGAAATAAATTTCTTCATTGATGTATCTTTTCCCCTCCTTAATTCATTTACTGAAATTTTATTTGACTGAGGGGTCTAAGTCAAATTAGTTAATTGAGCATATGAAGTCAAATTAATTAATTGTGCATATAAAGGTGAACTCATAATCAGGAGGGAGACAAAATTAAAGACAAAAATTTTCCCCCTGCTTTAAATTATATGTGAAATTGGAACTTTTACTAAGGCTGGACTGAACCTTCTTAATATTTGATGTGCTATCCATTAAATTAAGGATATTTAATAAACTGGTTTAACCTATTTGCTGCCTTGACCACCGATGTACTGAGGTAATGTTATATGGGCAGTTGTTTGATTTTTCAGGTTGGAACAGCCTTATATCTCTTGCTGACAAGAGTGACAAGTTACAAGGAGAGTATCAGTCTGAATCAGCAAAGTTGGGAGCCAGAGAAGAAATGGGCATTTGGGCAAGTAGAGGCAGCATATCTACCCTCTCTATTTTTAAATCTAGGTAGGACATGCTCTTCCTTAACATAAGACCAGACCAGCAAGGGCTGAACGTTCTCCTGAATGATGTTTTTAAATTTAAGGAGCCTCTGAATCAGACTGGAGTTCTTTGAAAATAATATCTTTATTGGTTGTTTATAATTACAAAGCGAACACATGCTCATTTATAAATACTTCAAATTATTTAGAAACAAATGACTTTTGTAAATTCACCCAATTCTTCACGTTCTGATGCATTCAGCAAGGATGTAGAACACCAGTGGACAGTCCCTTCCTGCCCCCTGTAGTTATTGCAGAATGCACTTATGTAATTAACGCCACCCAACAATTCATAGAAAGGTCTAGAATTTCTGTGGACTTTGTTCCATTTTAAATTCAAAGAAATGACAATGAAAAGCCAATTCACCCCAAGCTATATGATAGGAGATGGCATCGCAGAAAACCTAACAAAACCTAGACTCCTTTGGCTATACTGAGAGAGCTCATGGCTTTTGGAAGACAACAAGATTTCTGAGAGAGCAACTGTTTCTCCCCTCATTCCTCTGCCCTCAGCTTTTGAGTAGTTCCAACTTCAGTTGAGGAAAGACACAGAAGAGAATCGCCCATAAGGCTGGTGTGGCCTGAATTTTGGGAGAGACCCTACATCTTGTTGAAGTTGCTGAGGATTATCTTGGATTAGCTCCTCCCCACCCACCCCACACATCACCCATTAACCTCACACTAAAGGCTTGGGTGAACTTACCCTGAGAACCACCCTGTTGATGTGCTCACTCCTGTGAGCCAAGGAGGGATGCATCAGTCTTGACTGGAGGAGGCTTCCTGAGGGTTCTCTTGATCTGGACCAAGAACACCCTGACAGCAGAAAGCTGGGGAGCAGCGCAAGTGGACAACCAGATCAGGCAGTGATGCCCTATAGAAAGGTCACCTTGATGCCAAAACCACAGAAAAAACTGCTGTGAGCATAGATGCCAAAACTCAACAAAAGCGTTCATGAAGCAAGAACAATCCTTCCCCTTCCCTCTACCCTCTGACATTCAAGGGATTCCCCTCCCTGAAGTCACTAGTGGGCTTGAAGACCAAGGGGTATAAGAATGGTGTCTCATTTGCTTTATAAGTTGCTCTGAGAAAACCAAAGTTAGCATTATGGCCCAGTAACATAAACTGGAAGATAAAATAATTGTAAATAGAAATTGGTAGAAAGAACAAAAATAATAGTGAAAGAATTAAGAACAGACTAGAAGGAAAACGTATGTCAAGGGGACACAAAACAGAACAAAGAATGAGACTGTTCTCAAAATCCCAAAAACCAACAAGTAGGACAGAGAGGATGGACTAGAGCTGGGAATGGAGAGCAGAAGGGTGGATGAGGCCCAGTGTGGTGACTTGTGTCTGTAATTCCAGCACTTGGGATGCCAAGGTGGGAGGATCACGTGAGGTCAGACGTTCAAGACCAGCCAGGGCACCACAGAGAGATTCTGTCTACAGGAACAGAAAAAGTTAGCCAAGTATGGTGGTGCACACCTGTAGTTCCATCTACTTGGGAGGCTGAGGTGGGAGGATTGCTTGAGCTCAGGAGGTCAAGGCTATGGTGAGCTATGATCATACCACTGCACTCCAGCCTGAGCAACAGAGCAAGACCCTGTCTTAAAAAAAAAGAAAAGAAAAAAAGGTATGATACAAGCCTACCGAGGGTGTCACACAATCTATAAAGGCCTCAGAAATAACTTCACAACTTAGGTCAGTCAGCTAACTGCATGATGGGAACTACATTAGTGGATATGGTTTGTACTCTGAAATTATATTTAGACCACAGATTATACATCCAAATTAACCATGTATATTGCGCCACTGGATGCTAACATTTTGATGTTTCTTTTTTTAAAAAAAACTGATTGTTATACAGCAAATTTTTTAAAATTTTGTTTTCTTCTTGGAAACTGGAAACATTGAACTGTCCAAGTCCAAACAAAACACTTGGAAAGCCTCAAAATTTTTCTTTCCCACTGTCATTGTGTCTATGTTTTTATTGCAACCCATAATTCTCCTTCTGGTTGACAAATTAATTCTTTAGCCATTGTAATTCCTCAGTCAGTTTACCATGAAGCCTATGGGCTTCAGTTCTGGTGACCTTGCACATGTCTCTCCTGATCCATAATGTGTTGATTTAGAATTTAGCTTTCTGTTGTGCTCAGTGTACTCCTGGACTTAATCTTCTGTCCAAAGGATTTAACAGTGATCCGAGGTGAACATTAACGTGGGCTGAGGAAGTTGGAACACACTTGCCTTTTTTCCCCAGTTACCACATTATCTCTCCCACTAATTTCTTTCACCATCATTTACCCAAATTGGTCATCACAACCCTGAGACATGTCTTCCTTTCTCTGTGAAAAGGCTTTTTGTGTTTATAAGGGAATGGGCAAATATAGTTGAGTGGCCCATTTGTTCTGCTGGAACAGTTCCTCATTTATATATAACTCAGGTGGTAACCACAGGATTTTGCACAAGAGCCAATCTATGAAAAATTCAATATTTATGGTC